TCTATCTATCTATCTATCTATCTATCTATCTATCTATCTATCTATCTCATGCGCAGTTGAGATCGCACTCTCGTCACATTCCTGAGACCAGGGATGGTGCACGGGGGTGTGCAACGCGTGTGGGGAGCGGGAGAAAACTGGCTGCATAGAAAACTAATCCCCTACACAGCGGTGCAAAGACTCCCAAGGACGTGGGCCCAAGGACCACGCTTCGCAGCTGAGCCGAAGCGAGAGCGAAGTGGGGGCGAAGCGAGAGGCTCAAGCGAAGTCAAAACCAACCCATGTCTCAGCCTTGGCACAGAGGGGTGGAAGATGGTGCTCCCGAACAAAAGATACCTTGCTTGGGAAACCCACTGTGGCTTTCTGGAAGGCAGCTATAGGCTGAAACCACAGGAGTCCCAAAAGCATTGTAATGCAACATCTCATGCAGACCAATCATCGATCCATTCATTCCTCATTGTTCCTTTCCAGGCCACTGCCACCATTGTCGTTCAAATTCACATATTTGTTCGTCCACCCCTTTTTTTCCTGTGTGGGTTCTTTTGTTTCTTTGATATGTAGAGAGAGCAAGACACAGAGAAAAAGAGAGAGCCTTGTTTGTACAAACATGTACAAACTCTCTCCCGGGGACTCGGGACGCTCGACCCGTCACCCTGAAAAGCCCGGGCTGCACGCTCGACCCAGGCCATGACCCCCATGACCCACCTCCGACGAACGACCTAAGGTCGGCAAAGCTCCGGCTATTTCAACGATCTCCTTCATGCCAAAGCACAAGTGCCGCACGGCTGAAGCGAGCTGGTTTTTCAGGGCGCAAGTATTTGGCTTGCCTTGCAGGAATGTGCATGAACGGTTTGGATATGTTTGGATAATTACTACGATACACTGGTTATCGTCGAACTGGCTCCTCCAACCGTTTCCAAAAGAACCTGATCTCTCTGGGCTCGCCCGCGAGCCCAAAGCATCTCCCCTCGGCCGAGCGGCCGTATCGCCGTCGCAAGCCCAGGATTGCCACCGACTACAAGGGCAAAGGCGGTATCTCTATCGAGCTGGTCTTCCCCAGTTATCAGGCTCGGGACCAGAAAAATCCGGTGTCGGTGTCAGCGTTGAGCCGTTTTCTTTGAACGGACCTAATCAAGTCCCAAACAGCGTCCAAGACATTTTTAGTGGGGGTCTACTTTTCTAGCTATTTGGGGGTCTATATAGACAGGACCTAAGTCCAAATACCATGCGCTGTTTTTAAGTCTTCTCGAGTCTCGATCGCTTTGGCACTTGCGTCATGACACCACGCGAGAAGAACGCCAGAACGATGCGGGAAATTGATGGCGACCGCCCGAATGGGAGAGCTTTAGACTGAGCAGTGGCGGTCCGTTGGATGAATTCGTTCCTGAGAGGACCAGAAAGACTTGCGCCTGGACTTTGTTTGTGCCCATTTGGACAGTGAGATGAACGAGGCGTCATTGCCGGATGTTTGCAATTGAAGAACGGAAGTTCACTGTTGATCATTTGATATCTGGAAAAGCATGAGAAAGCTGAATACTGTATCGAGTCCAAGAATGTCCAAGATATTTGCGGAACTCGGGGTCGTGGCTTACAACATGTCACAACTCAGCCAGCCCAAGCAGATTGTTCACTGTCCATGAGTCCAGGTACAAATGAACACACTCGCTCAACCAGGGATGTTTCGTTCGTTCCGCTGCCTCATGAATCTCTTGAAGAACTTGAGAACACCATCAGAGAAAGTGGGAGTTTCATGGAGTTTCAGCAGAACCCCCAAAGGGGCTAGTAATAGCTCTTCTTCACAGCTCACCTTCTTCACAGCTCGTCAGCTCGTCAGCTCGTCTCGTTCACCGGACGACACCTCTACCGACGCCAGAAGCGGCACTTTGGCGTGGCGGAGCTCCTGTCCCGAGTCCGCTCCGATGATGTGGACGTGGCCTCCAACATCAGGAGCGGTTCGAAACGGCGAGGACTAGGCAGGGAGGTGGCACATGGTCGGAGTGAAGAAGGAAGGAAGGGAGGAAGGAAGGAAGGACATTCTTTGGTGATTTGCTTCGAACATTTTCACCCTGAATCGATTGGGAGAAGACTTCGATCGTCAAGATAGCTGATAGCTGAACCGGTGACCATTGGGCTGCTTGTGATACCGACATTGCTCTCGTGGTGGCATCCAGAGTTTGGTTTCTTTGCAAACACAGCAAGACCCCAATGATTCTTAATGTATGGATCTTCATTGACAGTTTGTTCGAAAGGGTGGTAACTGGCAGATCTCCGTGCCACGCACTCGCACTTCTTCTTTAATTCTGCACTCTCCTAATGCGCCAGCCTCCGACGCCAGGAGTGAAGCCTGCGGCAAAAAAGGCCCGCACCGAGACTTCAGTCTCCGCGAGACGAATCGGCATCCGAGACAACGGAGTAACCAGTGCGGTTGGTTGGTTGGACCCGGCAAGCAAAGAGAAGGCTGAAGCCCAACATCCTGAAGGAATCTGAATGTCGTGATTAATAAGTGTTTGACAATGCTTGCCACATGCTTTAATCGCAAGAAGATCAAATTCATGTCCTATTTTAGTTCTTTTTTTTGATTATTGCCAATTAATATATATATATACTGTCTACCGTATCGGACTTTGCTTGCAATCTTGCTTTGCTGTATGGCCTCAGGTACGGTCGCCAGCTAGCCTCATCCGGTCGTCCGATGCGACGACCCGTGACGAAAGTTCAATCACTTGCAGCATCCGACCGGGTTTTGTATTCATTGAGCTCCAAAGAACATCCATACATTTTTATAGAGCTTTAGGTTGACCATATGTTGACCGCTCCCTTCGTTTGGACCTACCTGCGACCGGCCAAGAAGCTGCGCTTTGTCAGGGGATCTGCGCCAGCCGTGTGCCCTGTTTGACCGGGAGCTACCGAGCTGCAACGTGACGGAGGGAAGTCACCTCCCACCTCCACCGGATGCCGTCTTCCTGTTCGGCCTCTTGGACGAAGCATTGCCTCTCTGCGAATGCACCGATCTGCCAGTGGGCTCTTGTCCCAAGTTGGAACTGCCGATGTGTTGGAAGGTATCAAATGTGAAGGCAATGGTTTGGATGGCTTTGAGGGATATTTCTCATGCTTGTTATGCTGGTGGAACATCCAGTTGAAAAAAATGGTCAGCAGGTTAGCCTTCCTTTCCAGAGGATTGGTTGGAGTCCAGGGTGCTTTTCTTGTAGAGTATTTGCCAAAAAGATGCCACGTTGGCGCTCTAGGCAGAGACAAACCACAAGGAGATGGTGTAGGAATGTGAAGACTTCGACGGCGTTGTCGAAAGATCGTTGTGAAAGAGCAGAAGGGATGGATAAACATGAGCTGCAGCTGAAGTTGAAAGAATAGCGCCGCGCCTGGGAACGATTCTCCGACTGTCGCAGGGAATGGAATCCCTGCGCGCAGGTTTCATATCGCATGAAGATCATGAAGTGGCATGCAATACTAGAACAGGCTTTCTGGTTAGAGAACTGGCTGCACTATTTGCCACTGTTCTAGTGGGCCATCTAATTAAATAATGGCCGGGTAGGAACTCAGGACCTTCAAAGAGGTTTGGTCCATGTTTCCTTGCAAAGCGCCGTGGGCTGCGGATTTTAGCAAAGCTGGCCCGGCTTTTGTGAGGATGGTTTTGCTGGCTGGGGGCCCGCACTCTGCGTGGAGTAGCACTGAAGAGTGGAGCCAGACCCCTGCCTTAGTCATCTTGAGACCAGACATTGATAAGATCCATTGGGGGTTCCAAAAAAAACACTGGAAAGCATTCACACCCTATAGACCAAGCATTTTACGTTCCTCAAATGTCTCCGTGAAAGACTCAGCGACTTTCTTTTTCTAAGGTGACCTCAACTATCGTTTGAAAAAGACTGGGCTGGAAGATATGTCCCAGGACCGGGCCAGAAAAGCTGACAGATGGGGTGACGGAGTGATGGACAGAACAATCTTACCCACCGAGGCTTGCGTTTGCTAGTGGAAAACTGATTCTGTTCGTGTAGAATTTCCATGAATTTCCCCACCACGAAGAACACTCGAACGGGCCAAATCGGGCTTTGCCGTTCTCAGCAAAAAGATCGATTTCTCCATGGTTCGTGGAGACCAAGCATCCAGATACTTGATCTTGCACTAACTGGAGAGACTTGCTGGGTCTTGGACTCCCAGTCTTGATACTATATTGAAATCACTTAAAAGGAGCCCATGCCCTTAGCGGACCTACGCCTCGAGGCCTGGCTCCTTGACTGGACCAAGCGTGAAGCACTTGGACATAACGATCACTTGGTGAGCTCCTGGGACGAGACTGCTCGACCTCTTCGCGCGGAGCAAACATCTTGGTCGTCACAAGGGAATTGAGATGGAGGAGTTAATAGTTGTAACATGTTGTAACCTCTAAGATGAAGCCGGTCTTGTGCCTTGTTGTGAACCGCACCGGATGAGCAAGCAGAAGCGAGAGCGTCACGGTTCTCCACAGGGATTCAAGGTCATTGTCATCTTCGCCCAGAATTGAACAGTGGCGGCCATGGGTTTTGATGTTCCAGTTGGGATTCGGTGTGGCACTTCTTGAGTTTACAACCTGCTTGTTTTGAGAGGAAACGCATGAACTCACCTGAGTTGCGGACTTCCCATTCCCCATTCCCTTCGCACGCTTTGTTGACCTCACCAACACGTCCCTCATGAGCTTCGAAGTTGAGCTGCGGCTGTGTCGTTGCCCGAGACCCACCAGGTTCGTTCAGCCTCCACCGACCAGGTTCTTTGAGACTCCAAACTCCAACTTGAGGGGGGTGTGAAAAGATGTGAAAAGCCTTTTGACACGATTGTTCCGACGGCGTGTAAATGAACAAACTGAAACTTTCTTCAAAGCATCGAAGTCAGATTCATCCTCTTGGATGATGATGAATCTAGGTTGCCTGAACCTTTCTTGCCACTGGAAGGAGGAGGCTGAAACTCCAAATTTTCAGTTGATCATGGCGCACGGAAGGACCCTTGCTATCCGCTCTGGAAGCCTTGAGCTTCTCATGCTCCCTGCTCTTGACCGGCCTAGATGGTGCAGATCCCCTGGTCAAGGAGCCAGAGAGTGGGGGCTTTGGCTTCACGTGCAACAAGCCTTTTGTCACTTGGATCGAAGAACAGGAACCACTGAACTCTAATTGAAATCCTAGTCCTAGAAGTACAAGACTACGGGCAGTCTTGAGACGCACCGACAGATCATATCATTTGGATCGCTTTGAGCAGATTTGAGCATCTCCATGCATGTCCGTCCGTAAGTTGATTTGAGGGTGAACACTTGTAGTTCATTTCAGCCTTCAATGTCGTCAATTCTGCTCTAGAAGCGCTTCTCTGATCATTCTTTCTCCGGGTGAATAGAAATGAACCGCTGTAAACCCGTGGTCGAAGCTTCCTGAACTGCATAGATCAGCAGGTCCTACCAGATGGATCTTCCGTCATCGAATGAACCAAAAAGAATCCGAAGTGGAGCACAGATTCTTGGAGATCCTCGAGACCCCTAAACCCATCTACTGAACCATCTACCAGATCTACCCATCTAAAACCATCTAAAACCCTTCACACATCTTGGAGACCAGTTGTGGTCTGACTTTAGACCGCTTCCTCGACGTTCCTCTGCGGCAGCCAGCAGAGGCTTTGTACCCACCGACCTACAAGCGCAAAGGCGGTCAGGCGCAGCTCGAGCTGACCGGGTTTTCTTTTGGGATAGGTGAGATGCCGAGCAAGCGGAGCTTTTGTGCGGATTGACCAAACATATACTGTATAAGGTTGAAGATGGGTGAATACTTATGGTGGAGGTATGAACATAAATCACAAGTTTATTGCATTTTCTTACTGTTTACTGGAAGACATCAAGTCAAAGGGTTCCACTGCAACACCGGCTTTCACCGAAAAGTCGGTCGCTGTGCGACCGATCACAGGTGCATTGGGAGAAGACCATTGAGTTTTCCAAGTTTCACAATACAGCCTTGGATGATGCGCTGCATGCCACCATGGGTCTGGAGATTGAGATCACCAATAGCACTGGTGGAAAGTTCCTTGGCGGATCGAGATAGGACTTCGCCTGGCAAAGGACCGAGCCATCGCCCACAGCCGTCTTTGGCAGAGATGGTTTTGGTTTCCTGTCAGCCCGAGCGAAGCTCGGATGAGGATTCTGCCAGTGCTCTGCTCGGTTTGAGCCTAGCACGTCGGTGCCAGGCTGGACATAGACGCCTTGCTAGATCCGAAGAAGATCTTGGAGGCGCCGGCGTTCCCCATCACGGTGAAGACAAAGCCTTTTGAGGCAGGGCCAGGAGGGGGAGGCTTGGAGAGGCCCAAAACAAGAGCCTTACATGTCCAAAACTGTAGATGACCCCAGAGTGACTTGACTGCGTCGATGTATTGTATGCAGAATGCAGATGGATGCAGATCACCTTGAACTTTGGATCCGCAATCTGTTTGTCGTTGCCTGGCTGCTGTTCAGGGCTGCACGGGCTGCCTGGCTGGCCCATGGGGAGAGGAAGAGTTCTTTCGGCTTGGCAACCTTTGGAGGTTCCCAGCCAGACAGCACACCGAAACCAGAACCGATGTCGAAGGTGCAGAATGATGGCTGCGGGTTGAGCAGGGTTTAGCAGCTGCTCAGGAAGGATTCCAACGGTGAGCATGAGTTTGACGCTTGGGGCAAGGAGTTCGGGTCTTCCACGGAGATGTTTGGGTGAAGTTGGTACCAAACGTGTCCTTTTTGGCCCATGCTGGATTTGGCGAGTTTCAATGATGGAGACGGAAGAAGATCGGAAATGGATGGACAGGTTGCTGAAAATTGCTGTGACAGAACTGATTAAAACCAAGTCCGCGAGTCTACTAGGAGCAAGAACGCTACTAGTAACAAGAAGCTACTAGGTGGAGGCCATCGCTATTAGGTTGGAGGCCATTACTACTAGTAACAAGAAGCTACTAGTATCAGAGTTGGCATCCCAAGAAGTTCGCCAAGGGCGGAATTTCAGCTGATCGCAACTCCCGGGCTCCTGGATGCCGTTTGAAAAATGGCTTAACTCCGCCAAGCAATAGAGCGGTGCATGGTCCATTTGCTCAAGCGGTGTCGTCATGGCGACAGTGGGAACCTTGCTTTTGCGGCACCAGTGCTGTAGGCTTCCATGTTTCCTCTCCTCCAGCTAACTGTCTAAGACTAAGAAGCGATGCAATTCCTGTGCCTCATAGCCCAGGCGATGGATTGCAATGAAATGCTGCTCCTGTGTCAAGTGGCCCGTTTCGGAGCGTCGACACCTAGAAGGATGCTTTAGGAACGCAATGCTTGGATGAAACGAGTGCAAGTGGCCAGCTGTGAGGATTTTACCTTGCCAGTTGACTTGAGCCTTCTCACGAAGCTGAGATTCGGACATGATTCGCAAAACTGATCCTCCAGTCAGTATACAAGATGATGAAGAGTGGTATGCCGGTATACCCAAGAAAAAGACAGCAGTCCTGCGCAGAGATCAGTTTGCTTTTTGCTGCGACACAGCACATGAAGCGCAAACATGAGTTGCAGTTAGCAGGAGAAAACAAACAACATCAGTACCGACCGCAACATCAGTGTATTTCCCCAAACAGTGTGGTCACACTGTGGGTTCTTGCGGTAGTTGTTAAGCACCGGTGTCTAATCGAGGTGCTCTCTCTCTCTCTCTCTCTTTGTCTCTCTCTGTCTCTCTCTCTCTCTCTCTCACTCTCCACTCTCCACTCTCCACTCACACTCGCACTCACAATCACACTCACACTCACCCACTCACTAGCTCACTCACCCACCCACTCATTCACCCACTCACCCACCCACCCACTCACCCACTCATACTCATACTCATACTCATACTCATACTCCCCCTCCCTCTCTCTCTCTCTCTCTCTCTCGCTCTCACTCACTGACTTCCAAAGTGAGGGCGCGAGTTTGTGCTGCTGGAGAGGGCTCTTGAGGATGGGATGTGGATACATTGGTGACTGGGGTTGCGTGGGGGGCCGGAGGGGCTTCCTGTGGTGTCGACTGGGTGGGTATGAGGGTGAAGGAGCAGGGTGGTGGTAAGGCCATGCCATGGTGGGCTGTGACGGAAGGGAGTGAGTCATCATAGTGGGTTGAGGCGATGGTGCCCAAGCTGGTAGAAGGCATACTTCTGGTGGCATCATCGGAGGTGCATGTTGAGGGCCAAAAGTGGGTGCCATCGAAGAAGTCATGGGTGAAAAGGACGATGCTTGGACTGAGTTTGGGTGAGATGTCAAATACGGCTGTGGCATCGTCGGTGCAAAATGTGGCTGGTGTGGTAGAGCATGACAATGTATCGGTGGGGCCGGACCATAGCATGCCGTGGGGACCGTCATCGTTGGAGGCGGCGAGGTCCACTGGTAGTTCATGGCGTCCCAGTGGTAGGCACTCTGAAAAACAATGTTGATTACATGAACGACCTACCCATGAATCTGGCCTGTGAATACTTAGCAGCATGACGTGGACATGTGATTACGTAGCAGCATGTGAAGTTCCAAATTGGAGTCTGATCTCAGTAAGCCCTGCGGCGTTCAATCAGCAGTCTCGGGCAGTTCCGTAAGCCTGTGGGATTACGAGGGAAGATCAGGTGAAGGAAAGGCACAATCAGAGGGGTTCCCCCAGGATCTGGGTCTATGCAGATGCTGCGCCCCTCGATGGGGATCACACCACAGCCCGCAGTGGGACTCTGTGGCGACACACACACGTGGATGCTCGCAAGAGTTATAAAAAACTTTCATTGGAAAGAACCTGTTTTCAAAATTTAAAAAAAGTCAAAAAAAGTCAATCCCAAAAGTCAAAGTCAAAAAAAAGTCAAATTGAAAAGTCAAAAAAAGTCAACAAAAAGTCAACAGTCAACAAAAAGTCACAAAAAAAGTCAAACAAAAACGTTGCATAGGTAAACAAGTCAAGGAAAAGCTTGTAACAAGGCAAATTGCAGCCTTTTTGCTTATGGCTTATGGCTTTCAGTCTATTAAAAATTCTAGAACCTTTTTGGTTGCTCAACTTTCACCTTTTCCAGCCCCAAGCCAGCCCCAACCCCCTACCCCAGAGTCGCAGGATCCCTACCCAGCCCCAGCCACTGTCCCAGGGTCTCTTCAGCCCCAAGCCAGCTGCTCAAATTTTGGGGCAGGTTGCTGCCAGGGCCAAGCTTTGGGCTGGCTGCGGCTGGCTCCTGGCGGAGGGGTCAGGTTGAGGTCGAGCTCAGGCAGGCTACAGGCGGGCTGGGGCATGCGGGGCTGGGCCGGCAAAAAAAAGTCAATTGGAAAAGTCAAAAAAAAGTCAAAAAAGTCAAAGGTGCGGATCCTAGCCTTGGCGGATTACTGGAGGCAACAAAAAGTCAAAAAAAAAGTCCAAAAAAAGTCAAAAGGGGAAAACGTCAAAAAAAGGCAAAAAAAGTCGAAAAAAAAGTCAAAAAAAGTCAAACGTGAAAACCAAGCGCGGATCCTAGCCTTGGCGGATTACTGGAGGCAACAAAAAGTAGTCAAAAAAAAGTAAAAAAAAGTCCAAAAAAAGTCGAAAAAACGTCAATTCTGCTCGCGACCTGGGGCCGGACAGGGCTGGGTACTTGGGACTCTGGGGTGGCTACCGGGGCCACCAGGGCCACCAGGGACAGGGCTGGCTTGGGGCTGAAGAGACCCTGGGACAGTGGCTGGGGCTGGGCGACTCTGGGGTAGGGGGTTGGGGCTGGCTTGGGGCTGGAAAAGGTGAAAGTTGAACAACCAAAAAGGTTCTAGAATTTGTAATAGACTGAAAGCCATAAGCCATAAGCAAAAAGGCTGCAATTTGCCTGGCTGACTTATGAGCTTGTTACTAGTTTAGTTCAATGTTGTTGTCCTCTTTGCCTGTGTTTTCCATATATATATATATGCCGGCTTTCTTTTGCTCCTGAGTCGCTTGACTGGACATTTTTGTTTCTTGTTATTTTTTTGTTTTTTTTTGATTTTTTGTCATTTTTTGACTTTTCAATTCGATTTTTTTGACTTTGACTTTTCCAGTTGATTTTTTTTATTTTTTTGACTTTTTTTTAAATCAAGGATTCTGGCCTTACCATATGAAAGTTTTTTATAACGCAAGAGCTAAGTCAGTTGCTGGATCACGGATGCGTTAGCCCTTTAGGTGAATACTTAGCACTTGACTTGATTCAACGGCATGGAGTGAAAAGTCCGCTCAACTGAATGTTTCAACAGCACTCGCTAGCCCTTTAATGCATTGATTTTTTTTGCAGGTACGTGACTTTGGCGTCCCAAAGTCATGTCACAACACGATGGAAGGGTCTTCCTTGGGCAATGCCTTCCAAAGTGTTCATGCCCCCCCTGCTGGTGCTCGTCGCTCCACTCGAAGTGAATTACGCAAATGAGACATGAAACGCAAAACCTTGGAAACAGGTGTTGATACACACACACACTGTTTGGGGTCTCTTGTCGGGATAATTGTTTGGGGCAAGTCGTGATCACCGTCCTCCGGGTAAAAGGCCAACGGACGCCGCTCTGCAGGCGTGCAGCAAAGTGGGGAAAGCCTTGAGTCAGTGTGGGCAAGTAAAGCAGCCAGAATGCAAGGCAGGGCAGCCACCGCGTGCAGCTGTGGTTTCTTGTTATGTTGGAAGGTTGGGCTACATATGACATGAGACATGGATTTGTTGACCACTTCAGGGAGATCCACCGCACAGAATGAACACAGAGTACAGATTGTAAGCCGAGTACGATTCTTTTCGAGCAAAGTGTTCTCGAATGAACAAAACCGACCAAATCGCTTGAACCTTGCCGATTGAGTGTTTCAAAGGCAGGAAAACGTCACAAGTGCGGATTCGGATTGTGCCATTACTGTAGCACATGGTGAAAAGAAAACGAAAACTATTGCTCAACATTGCTCAACAGTGTTTACTTCACACAATTAGTAGCTGAACCTGCAAGCCATTGGATGATAAAGGCACCCCTTTGCCAGGAATGGGTGCTTGCGTTTGCGAAGCAGTGCTATCGGAAAAAGGACCGAAACTGATTGTGGGGCCACTTTCCAACAGCCTTTAGTGTAACATGCACCGATGAACCTGTGGTATGGCAGAGTGCGCGGAACTTGCTGGAACACGGGTATACACGGATTCTTGCAGCACGGGCAGTTTGGAAGAGGTATATGGGGTAGTTTGCTAAAATATGGGGAAACCCTGTGCACTTTTGCAGAGACAACTTATTTTTGTTGGAATCTGGCTCTCGATCAATATATGTATATTCTGGTATTATATATGCATGTAATTAAATATTAATTCAGCAATCAAGACACATGGAGTTGTGAGATAATACAGCACGCCCAAGAGAAGCTCATTCCAAAGCTGATACATGTTGCGGCATGTGTACGTTATCAGGTCAAAGCATGCGCAGAAGTAACGGGGCTAGCTTTTGGGAAGTGAATGCCTCTCCGGTTCTTGCAGAGTCTATTCTGCCATTTTTCAGCGGGTTGGATAGTAATGCAAACCCAGGATTAATAAACCGGCCCCCCCACATAGGAGGTCAACAAGATCCATAAGGTCTGAGGTTACCATTCATGAGGTCCACTCCCCCTGAATAATATGCTATGAGGCCACTAGACCATGATTAGATAGAGATGAGCAGCATGATGATGATAGTTGCACCATGATCAATAAATCCACTTAGTTAATCTAATAATTAAAAATACATATATTTTCTTGGTTGTTTGGCTCGGGTTAATTGGGGGGTTTCTAGATGACAAGTACACTATTTGGGGTGGAATTTAGCTCCAAATAGCTCCAATATGCTCCAATACTACTTTCATTTGGGTGAATTTGCGGGGCTGTGTGGGCTCGGATTAACTAGGGGGGGTTCATTAATCCTAACGTTGAAAAAAGACGTTTTTTTGTGCGGCCACATGCACCTGTCAGATCAAAGTCGGAGGCGCCACAAGAAGACTTGTCACGTCATCTCGACCGTCGCGAGAAAGTGCCTCTTGGAAATCGGGTTTTACATCGCTTGAGAGAATGGAACCAACATGAAAAAGTACATGTTTGGGTTTGGAACCAACTATAACTATCTATATATAACTACCCCAACTGTTCTATAATTACCGCGTTTTTTTCTTCAGAATGCGGTGCCGGGATGTGCAGATGCCCCGAATGGTTCTGCTCACCGTGTGGCTCCAGGAGGACAAAGCTTTAATGGATAAGTATGGCCTCGAACGTTGGGCAGTAAAGAAGGATGACCTTCAGCTGGGCTGGTTGGACCGCTTCTTCTTCTGCAGGAAGGTTGGGCTGCAGCGGTTGGTTGGCTGGAGGTCTTTACGTTGAATGCGAAATCAAACCGGTGGTGGGAACTGCTGGACAACAGGGTTACTGTTCAATCCCAAATAGTCAAGTGGGTGGGAAGAATAGAGTTTCCGAAATTGTTCCCACACCCTGAATAGTTTATGTGGGTCGAAATAATAAATAGCTATTTTGGCCCAGGTTGTTGTTTTGTGTGCTATTTTTTACAATGAGGCTTGTCTATTCATTTAGCTATCTATTGTTCAGCTATTGCTTCCCTTCAAGTTAACCTTGCTTGATTCCTAGAACTCTGACCTGAAAGCCGTTTTCTAAACCAGTTGAACTCGTCGACATCATTGCTCCAAACAATTCTTCGACTTGACGTTTGCAAGCCCAGGGGAAGGAAGTGTACGACTTGTTTAGGGGATCGTAGAAATGCGTAAATTGGAGCCCTGGCAAAAGCGAAACTATTTTTTTCTAGCGGTCTACGACGACGACGACGACGACTACCACTACTACCACTACCACCACCACTACCACCACCACCACCACCACCACCACCTATCACCACCACCACCACCACTACGACCACCACTACGACTACGACTACAACTACAACAACAACAACAACAACTACTACTACTACTACTACTACTACTACTACTCCTACTGCTCCTGCTCCTGCTCCTGCTCCTGCTCCTGCTCCTCCTCCTACTACTGCTGCTGCTGCCACTACTACTATGACCCAGAACCCAAGTCTTTTAAGGTTTTGCCTTCCTCCAATCGAGCTTTCTTAGAGAAACTTTGAGTTGAGAAACAACCATTCCTTTTCAGGGAGGGTCTACTCGACCGGAGCTGGATTCCGCTCACATGCATACACTGAAGTCAGGATCAACCAGGAGAAATCACGTTGAACCTCCTTTTTCAAGGCGGATTGGCTTGCGAGCACGACTGAGGCTTCTGCTTCCGGGAAATCAAGAGGGATTCAACTCTGAAGGTCTCCCTCCTGGGGGAAGCAGGTGACGGAAGCTGCAGAATCCCGCTTTCTTGTTTTCGCTTTGTGGTGTTGCAAGTGACATGCCAGGGATGGTCACCCCCAAGATGCGCAAAAAATGGAGGGGCACCCAAGATGTTACCGCCGAACATTTGGTGCAACTTGCCCGCCGGTTTGAACGAGAAAACTCTTGGTGAGGTTGGATGGATTATCCAGGGATCAAGGAGACTTGTCAGCAGATCCATGCGGGTCGTACCTTTTAAAGCAGAGAGAAGGAACGCACGTGCAGCAAAATGAATCACTGCCGCCCTGCCCGGGCGGGGATGTCAGGTGTAAGGATGGTCGCCCGACTTCATCAGCAGCCGGAGAGGTAGCAACAAATTGCTCAGGTGTAATAGGGAAAAACTGACCAATCAGCATCCTGGTGTTTGGTTGTGAAGTGAGCTATCCATTTAACCTTTCATGTTCCATGTAAATATACTACTATTATATATATATATACACATGTATAAAGTTATTGTTATCACTACTATTGTTACATGTAACTCTATTATTACATAATAATATAATGTTTCTGCAAGTACCGTGACTTCAAAGCCTAGATGTGGATCCATTAGTGTCTGTCCCCCACTCTGTTTTCACAAACTACAAGGGGCTGGTGCAAGAACAACAACTAATGAATACATTAATATCATTAATATGGTGTTGACCACCACCTTCACAAGGTTGTCCATAGAGATGGCTTCTCGCACACGCCCACTGCATGGCAAATCTCTAAACATTCAAACACATCGAGTGTACAAATCCCTGGCAGGGTCGGTGATGTCGGTTCTTTTCCAATCAAATCAATGTGTTCTTTTTTTCGGCAGGGACGGCAAGTAACCAAGGTGTCGAATGACACCCCAGGGACGGCAGAGGTTTTCCGTCCTAAGGACAAGCAGAATGGCTCGGATCACATGCCGGTCGCTGCAACGTGGCTGGTGGATAGATGTCGATCGGGTGCGAAATCACCATGTCTGCAACAAAGAATCGCACTAGTCTTCAGTGGTGGATCATTGTAAGCGGCTAGCGGCTGCTACTCCGGCGAAAAATCATCGGACATCTATTGCATCTATTCTGAAGATTTGCAATCTTGGTGATTACGTTCATCTACGTGCTACTAAGATCTGGACCAACACCCGCATTTGACCCACAACGAACAACGAGTTGCCGTCGACCAACGGTGAGCACCGTGGACGTCTTCGTTCCAGACACGGTCTCCGTCGTGGAAATCGGTTTGGTGCAGCCGGCGAGCCAGGCCACGTTCTTGGTCTCCTCGACCACATGCAATTGCCCGAAGGTGAAACGGAATATGATGATCTCTGGATGTCAGGTGCCGGCGTCGGAAGGGGCATTTCTGCATTTCTCTCTGCTGAACAAAGGTCCAGGTGTGTTCTGTCGACACAGTGATCCCTTTGGAAGGTTAATACACCATACTTGGAAGTTTGAATGGATTAGACGACGTGCGAAACCTTAAAAGAAGGGTTTGTTCTTGCGGCTGTTGCGGCCAATTGCTCCAACAAATCCTTCATGGAGCGTTGAACCAAGCAGACGACGACTATAGTGACACTGCGAGAGAAATTGTAATGTTTCAAAGAAAAAGATGACAGCCTTGCAAAGCACACGCCTGGATGCATTTGTAGCATGGCAACCACCAGATCACAGGAGAGACCAACATGGATGTAACAACCAAGCACAAATCACAAACAAACTATGCGCCAAGCAAGTGAGGTCGATTCAGATCTGGAATCCAAGAATATCTTTGCTCTTCAGAATGTCCAGGAATCTGTTGGCCACTGTTTGCCTCGAAATCGAACGTGTCTCCTTCGTGTCTCCTTGTGACCAACGCAGACTGCGGAGCTCCGCTCCACGCGCCAGGTGGCGGACAGCGGAGCCCGGCGTCCCAGTATACGAACCGTCTGTCCTCTTCTCCGGGGGGTTGGACGAAGCACGGATGGCAAGGAGAACGGAGGGCAACGTCGGTGGTTTAGGTTTTACATGGTTTTGCAGTCTTTTTTTTGTGTATTTTGCTTGGTGATTTAGATCCTGCATGAAGCAAGCCACAAACAGTGGCCAAGGACAATCCCAAGCCCACTCAACATAGGACCAATTTGTAGGTCGTTGAGTCTACTGCGTCAAACAACATCAGTGGTTGAGAGGTACTGCGAGCTCATTTAGTGCGAGCGCTTCTTCAAGTAAGCTCCCCCCCACCCTAGGCGGGGGGGAAGCTTTCTCGAAGCTTGAGCCATCCTGCATCCTACCTAGGAGCGAACAAGTTCCTAGTAGCTTACTATAGTAGTTGCTGAGGGGGGCGGGAGCGGGCTAAAACAGACACTTTTCTGCTGGCGTGGGTTTTCCCATCAGGTGCTACGCTTCGGCGAGTTGTCGGTTGTCACATGCAAATCTGGCTACGCTTTAGATACCAGGCGCGCGTGTCTGAGGCCATTCAGCTTGGGAGATGAGCAACAGTTCCCAAAGACGGGATCGACATTTCGTGAACATGCCTGTAATTTTTTGGAGTCCTTCTCACTCATTGAAGCTTGGAGTTTGCAGAAGTATTCCAAGCAAGTGTCGGAGCGCTCCCTAGTCTTTCCGCCCTCTTCCCTCTCAGGCAGAAAAGTGAGATCATCAAGTGTGGCCAGTATGGGAGACTGGGCGCAGTGTTTCGATGGGAAAAAACACATGACTGAACCGTTTCGATTCGGCCAACTCTTCCAGCGTTTCCCCCACATCGGGGCCCGTTGGGGGGCACTGTTTTCTCCTAGTAGCGTCCTTGCTCCTGGTAGCGATGCCCTTTGCTACTAGTAGCTTCTTGCTCCTAGTAGTAAGGC